TACGCTTGTGCTAAGCTATGCATTTTGTGTGCGATGGCCTTAATTTTGAATTCGATTGGCGTAGTCACCTTACTCACCTTGCGCTTGCTTCGTGGTGCTTCCCGTCGACTCGAAGTCTCGAAGCAGTCCCGCAGCCCGCTTCGTATATTCACTCCGTGTTTTTCCGTTCGGAGCAGAGCCCGTGTTAAATCAATTAACGGATAATCGCCGGAGAGTGTTAATTAACCCGTATGACAGTGATACCTTTCGTCGTAAACGCCGCCCGCCGCGCCGCGCCGGCTCGATGGAATTGGTTAGGAACTGCGTCACACGACGTCGGTTGGCGCATCGAATATTTCGAAGTAGGTTATTTCGATAGTTCGAGTCTCTTCCGAGTCGGGAGTTTCGTCGCGAGTACCATAAAGTCGCGACGATCAAACTATAGAAGCAAGTAAAGCACTCAATGTAGCAATTATTTCGCGGGAGTCGCCGCGATAATTCCACAAGTGTGCCGCGTGAAATTGCCGTCGGGTCGTACATATTCTCGTACGTAATGCCAACGTGCCGTAGCGAAACTAGCTAAACGAATGGAAGCGAAAGAATAAGAAAGAGTTAACAATATTCGTGGAGATGTTCGAGAGTTTTAACAGCCGACGCGCGCGCGCGCCCTAAAATAAACGCGTAGACAGTCGTCCGTTATCTCTCTCTCCCTCTCTCTCTCTCTCGCCGTGTTGTGTGTGTTTCGTGTGTGCGTAACGTAAGATTATGAACGAAAGTAGGTACGCACGGCGCGGCGCGGCACGGCTGTATATACGGTGTAACGGCAGGTTGGCGCGGAGCGGAGTGGGGGGTGGGATCGCCGCGCCGCTCGGGCGCGCTCGGCTCGCCGCCGATGTCTCACGAAGCGCTCCGAAAGTAAAGCGCGCGGCAGACGGTCTTCGCGCGTCGAGCTCACCGGTCGCTCTCTCACGGTCACGCTTCTGTCACGTCACTGCTGCGAGCCCCGACGATTTCGCGACGAGGAAACGAGGACGGAGTAATATTCGCGTACGATCACGTATCGCGCGTCGTTCCCGCGACGTACTACCGACTCTCGCGCGGTGGCCCGCGATTTCGAATCGGCGTTTCACGCGGCGGCACATCCCGCGAGATTCTCTGAGTTTTTATTGTGTTCCTCCACCCAACCGCGGAAACGGTTGCGAGCGACAACGTGAAGTTCACGACTGGAGAATTTGGTTTTGCGACAAGTGCTTCTATTTCTTCTGTATATGTGCGCCGGAGCTGCGAGCGGCCGCATCAGGATGACGACGATCACCGCCTGGGCCTGTGTCATCGCCGTGCTGTGTTCATCGATTATTGAAGGTGCGCGTGACAAAAATATATAAGTTACATAACCCCGCACGGTGAAATCCCGTTATGACGAGCGCGTCGTAATTTTCGAAGGCGTCGGCCGTTACCGGCCGGGTATCTAATCGAAATACCTACCGCGATATACGATGAACTCGGATTCCGAGGACGGGATTCGTTGTAATGAGATTTTACCGTGGTTTCATGTCCGTCGTCACGGACGTTGCGCGCTTTTCCGGCGCACGTTCGAGGGATTCGTTTCGAATCCGGCGCGCCAAAATAAAACGCGCAACCTCGACGATCGCGGTAATACGTAAAATACAGTACCGGAGCGAGTACATCCGTCAATATTCAGGGAGAGGAGAAGGAAGAGACCGGAAGTTCGCGACTTTTACCTCTCGGAGAAAACGCGTTTAGGCAAATGACGGGCGGCTCGCTCGTAACTTTTCCTCTCTCGCGTTTTCGCGTCACACGCGGGAAAGGGAAACTCGTGGGAAAACTCCTGTGTGTGTGGGTGTGTGTGCGCGCGTGCTTTGAAGTCGGAAGAGGCGAGAAAAGGCTGCTCGGTGTGCGCGCGGCGCGGGCGGCGGCGATGGCGATGATTCTCCACGCTATACGTGCGCTCGCGGCGCGGAACGGAACGCGTAACGACGTTCGCCGTCGCACGAAACGAACGTAAACGCCAGCGGGAAATGCCCGCTTCTCTCTCTCTCTCGACGTCGCCAGGGATTGTCCGGTGTCCGGCAGCGATGCCGGGATTAGATTTGGCGTTCTCCGGGACTGCGGCGATCTCGCCTCGGGCGCGAGACAAATTCGCAGCTAATGGCGCGATGGTGAACGCGACACCGGTCAAATATTTCGTGGATAATTAATGAATCGGTTCGCGAGTGCGATACGTCCCGGTGTATGACTCGGTCGATTAATAGGGCGATATTGATATTAAATATATAGAAAATTCTCGGCCGGGGGAGACAATTTGTAGCGCGGTGTTGGAGATGACGAGCGAAATTCGCCGAAAATTACGCGACGTGATTATAATGAATATGAAATTCGGCATAGGTGTGAATATAGCTATTATATATACATATGTATATATATATATATATGTATGTATGTACGAGATTCGGCACGGGTGATTTATTGCGAGATATAAATATAATGCGTGCGGAATTCGATTAAAATGTGCAAGTAGGGTAAATATAATACATGCAAATACCGGAAGGATTTTAATAGCGCAAAAAATATAGTACAATAAATTGGGAGGTGCAGCAGGTATATAACTTGCAAAATTTAAAAAGCGATCAACAGCGCGTGTGATCGTAATGTAAAATTAATGTGAAATTCGAAGGCTGATTAATATTTCCTTGTAAATATGGCGTATTTTTGAAAAATATTTGTGAGCGCGATAAGCGAGATATCGCTGCTATGCGTGGTATTTGTTCGCTTTCGAAACGAAACGCGTTCCTTGTGACACCATAGTAGGTAGATTAGAGCTAATCGATCATTGAACCAGATAACGAAACATAGTAGGGATGGTGATTGTGTGGGTGTATATGCGGTGGCTTAAAAGTTATATATAGCGCAGACGTGTGCATTTCACATGCTGCATTCGCGTTCGGTGTAACGCGATGATAATGCGCGTCATAAATAATTAGGACAGTTTTGTATAAACTAAATTGAAAAGACGCAAATTTTTGGACGTAAGGAAATTAAGGTAAATTTTTCATCCTCTCTATGCCGATTCAATATGACATATCGGCGTGACGTCTACTGCAATATTTCCAGCGCGCCGGGGTATAACTCGATTTTAAAATCCAGCGGAATTATATCGAGAAGTTACTCTATTTCGTTTGTAAATATAATTTTTCTTGGTTGCCGTCCGTAGAATCAATTTTTCCGTGGAAACTTTGTTACGAAACTCGCTCCGGAAAGGGCGGAAAGGGTCGTTGACTTTTTCATCATCATATCAAATAACTTTAACAACCGATAGGTTATCGCAAGATTATATTCCTGAGCATATATTATATTTCTAATCGTAAATAGGAAGTAGTCGGATAGGAAGATTATTATTCTTCGAACTTGGTTAGGTCGGTTACAAGTCGGAGATAGATCTTGCCGCGTAACCCTTTCACCTTCGAGAAATTTGAAATGCTGATTGCTCGCCCTAATATAATAATATGTATTCTACGTCAAAGGCATATTGAATAATTAATGAATATTAAAATATAACTTGGATAATTGTATTATTATTATTAATGCTTTTTTTCTCATTATTGTTACATTTAGAAAAATATATGCCTTTTATATAATTCTTAGTTACAAAGACAAAAATTAAACAAAAGTTTTTAAAACTAGCATTGAAAGAATTAGAAAAAAAAACGATTTATTCGGAATACAGAATTTGATAAGATACGTTTTATTCGTTTTAATCCACAAGTCCAACAATCTATATAGTTATCAAATCTGCGATATGAAAAAATTTGAAGTGATGAAAATGGATGGATTGATTGATTTGCTTGCTGTATCCGTAAGATTAATATTGGTACGGAAACATAAATGATTATTTTTATTTAATTATGACTCGTGAATCTCCATAAAATACGCGTGCTTTTGATAATTCTACATTTTATGGCCTACGATTTTCAAATTTATGATTATTTAAAGTTATTACACATGAAACCGTAACACGCTAAGTAAATTTGATATACATCATTTATTTATATCAAATATTTAAAATAATAGGCTGAATTTGGAACAATTATGATATTATTTGATTTTCTTGCTTATCAATAATAAATTAAATTCTTTCCTAAAAGTTTTACTAAGCTAAATTTATTTAACTATATTAATTTGTCTCTTATTAATTGATGCGCAATTGATTTTCTCAATCAAGAAAATTGAGCATTAATAAATTTTAAATGTAAATGATAGAAAATTATATTACTTTCTAACAATATAAAGCTTCAGGAAAAAATAATAATAAAATTTAAAGATTTATTTAAATTTAAGAAATAAATTTTGTTAAGATTAGTTTAATTTAAGCAATAATTACGTTTTTTTGATACAAAAATTTGAAAATTTACAAATAATAGCTTTTCAAATTTGTGTGTTAAAGAGAGGTCAATTTTATACTCGTTAAAGAATTCTATCATTAATTCTTGTCAGACTCATGCTTTTCCTGTATATCGTGATGATGTACGTGATTTTTGCCGCCCTGGGTTATTTAAATATTTTAATGTTAAATTACTTCCAATTAATTGTCATGAAATTTTAGCGAACGAGGTGACAGTCGATCGTCCGCAGGGAAGCGTCGCTCGGACGAACAATTAATATCGTGATATAATTGAAGAAAATTTCTTGTTACCCCCGCGAGTAACTTGTCGCAACCTATTAAAGCTGTAGACCGGAACGTTGATTATTTTGCAATTATCGTAGTAGTCTTATTTAAGAGCACGCCGGAACTGGTTACATTATTTCTCGCGATACAAGATTAATTCCTAACAGGACAATTATTTTCTTGTTATTTCTTATAAAAGTGAAATAATTTTATAAAAATGCAATAAGTTTTGCTCGGTTTGATCATCATTATCTTCTTTTATCGAACATTTTTTATTGTAAAAACATATGATTTTCTCTTGAAAAATTAAATCTATTGGTTAAGCATATTAGAAATTCGAAGCTTTATATAAATTATAAATTAATCAAGATGTTTTGTCGATAAATTATATAGAGTTAATTCCAAGAATTAATAACACTGTTTGGGATTATTTGCTTCTCGATTACCATACAGCTTAGAAGCTTTCTTTTAGACCTCCCTCTTTACCTACTTATATTATTTCTCGTTCATAGCTATATAAAGCGACAAAACAAGTCCAAAGCAGGTATAAAGCAAATCCAGTACTGGGCGTTTATCGATTTAAGTTGCGCGACCAACGACCGATATTAACATTATTCTATTTGCTACTGCTCGACATGATCCGCGAAGAACACCGCTTTTATACTGGAATGAAGTTTTTGCATAGATTACGATATTTACCGTTAATGCAAGAATTTTATTGTTCTCAACTCTCAACACATTTTTAAATATTATGAGCTTTTCATATGTATATATTATATTGATGTTGCATTAAATTAATCTGCTTTACGATATTTGCTTTCGGCGATTTTTAGGGATTAAAAAATAATATTAAAAATAAAAACTCTTGAAATAGGAAATTAAAAGGAAAATCTTTTAATATAATTTTCTCTGAACGCGTAACACATATTCGGAACATTATCCCCGACTGTTCGTCCTCGAGAAAATGTGTCGCGGCAATCGATACACTTGCGACGTATATATTTCGGTGAAAATGATGTGGTGTAAAAATATCACGTGTATATATCAACATCGCGTGTGCGCCATCATAAAATAATCTGAAATACGTTTTGGGGAGGGCGTATTTGTGATAAAACTTACCTCTCTCGCTTAAATGCCGTTCCAATTGAACTCGTGCTCACCTTGAGCTGTAAAGAAAGGCCGATGTAAATCTGACGTAATTGCGAATACTGGGCGTGGGACGTCAACTGTATTTGCAATAAGACGCAAGGTGCATTCCAAGTAAATTCCTTCGTGCTACTCGCATTTCTGGGATAACGCGCCCGCGCCGGGCGAGACTTATTTCGCACGGAGACGGATTCGTCATGGCGGCGGGAGGAGATGTAATTTCATAAGGTCACTTGTTGCAAATGACGTCATGCACTCACCGACGAATTATTATGATACGGTCATGCATGTCGTAACCTAATTCCGAAGACGGAGTGAGTCAGTCAATCGATGAATGTCGAGTTGTTAGTAGGTATGCTTTGACTTTGATCTTAAATGCAACGTGCATTCACGTAGGATGCGGACGATAATGTCGTAGTGACCTAGCGAAAATGAGAACTCAATTAGGAATATTCTTTACTTTATAGAATATTTTTAACGAGTTATTTTTTAAAGGGTAATATAAAAATACGATTATTTTACAATAAATAAT